GAGACAGAGTCTCACTGTCACCAGGCGCCAGGCTGGAGTGCAGTGGCATGACCTCAGCTCACTACAACCTCCACCTCCCGGGTTCAAGCAATTCTCCTGCCTCAGCCTCCTGAGTAGGTGGGACTACAGGCGTGCGCCACCACGCTCAGCTAATTTTTTTGTATTTTTAGTAGATATGGGATTTCACCATGTTGTCCAGGATGGTCTCGATCTCTTGACCTCATGATCCACCCGCCTCGGCCTCCCAAAGTGCTGGGATTACAGGTGTGAGCCATTGCGCCTGGCCTGGTATTGATTTTTTTAAATTCATATTTATTGAACCTGATTTTTGAAAATTCCCTTTTGAACACATGGTACAATTTATATTTTTATTTTCTAGCTATTTTGAAGTCTAAATCTTACTGAAAGGTAAATATTGGAAAGCCATATTACCTAGCCTATGTTAATTAGTAAATTATTTTAAACAAAATATACTTACTTAAGCAGAATAATGTAAATGTAATACTTCTTTAGGAAAGGGAATGCAATGGCCAGCTGCAGAGAATATCTGCACGGCTCAGGCAATTACAGGTGGATGGCATTATCTACAATAAAGATTTCCGAAGTTCACTAAGCCATAAACAATGGCCAACAGCTTAGTGTGAGCTAAGACTAAACAACTTTCCAAGTAACTATCAAATCATCCCAGAATTTTCTTAAATCTTCCTTTAGGAAAAATCAACTTATCCTAAAACAGTGTTGACAATGTTTTAAAAGGAAGTGTAACATAAAAGTAAACACTTTAGATTGCATTTAATAAAACATGAACCAAAACCAGCAAGGTAGAATAAAGCACATGCTTAAAAGTGTTGGCAGAATGAAAGTAAAATGTTAAATTATCAAATATATGCTTCTTTCTATCATGTGAATTGTTTCTGTGCTGCTATAGTACTCATAATTAGCATATCAATAATGTTTTCTTCATAAAATATACATTCTTTATGGAAATGTTGGAAACAATGAAAAAAAATCACTCACATTGTCATTATCCAGAGATAATCACTTGCCATTGTCATGTATTTCCCTCTGTTTTTTCTGGGTGTGTACAAGAGGCCCTGTTTCTCCCCTTCTCCTCCTAAACTGCAGCACACTACATGTATACTGTCTCTATTTTACAATACTTATTGAACATTTTTGGGAGAGGAGAATTGTTGAAACCAATTAATTAAGTGATATGTTCTGCTTAAAAACAGATGGTATAGTTAGCAGGCTGGGGAGAAGGTGCCAAGAGAAAAACTGTTCTGGGGGCAGGTGAGGCAGATCTTAAGAGAAGCCCGTATTCCTTCACTGGCATTGGAAACATATACCAATTTGGATGCTTTAATTGTCAGTAGGAGATAGAGCTACAGAATCTCAAAAATTCAAAAAGGCCTTTAAAGTTCCTCGCTCATACCTCCTGACAGACCACCCCTGTCTCCACTCCACAGCACCCTTCCCACACAAAGACAGTCTATCCCTGACAAATCATTGTAACATCTACACCTGACATTTCCAGCAACTAGGAAATCACTGTCTTAAGACCGCCTACCCCATTTTGCATTGTTCAATTATTCCTTATATGCAGCTGAAATTGGCATCCCTGTAACTTTTATCCACTGATCCCAGTTCTGCCTTTTGGAGCAATACAGAATAAACCAATGCCTTTTCTATAATAGCTCTGTAAGACAATATATTCTTCCCTGAGACAGGGCACCTGCTTCTTCAACAGCAACTCTAGTTATTTATTTTACAGATTAGGTCCTCCTGACCTACAGGATATGCTTTGGTTTTGCAAAGACTTTTCCAAAAAGACTTGCTGCAACTGAACACATTTCCCAAGATGAAATAAACCCAATGATCCCTGCTTCCCTGTATTCCCTCTTGTGGAAGCCCCCTGAATGCCCCTGAGTGTGAGTGGGAGCTGAGATTTTCTTCTAAGTCTATAAGAATATGGAAAAATTGATGGGATACCACTCCCATGATAACATTACACAAGAGTGTAATCTATCTTGCTAGGAGATGCCTTTCCTCAAAGACTTTCCCTTGTTTGCTTTGAGAATGCAAGTGGCCACGCTGAGGCCTAGATGGTGAGAGCTGAGGATGGCCTCCAGCCAAAATCCAGGAAGAAACTGAGGTCTTCAGTCCAACAACCCACAAGTAACTGAATGCTGTCAACATGACATGAGCTTAGAAGCAGATCCTTCCCCAGTTGAGCCTCCAATGAGACCGCAGCCCCAGCTGACACCTTTGTTGCACCCTTATGAGACCCTGAGGCAGAGAACCCAGCTAAATCATGTCCAGTTTCCTAATCCACAGAAAATGAAAGATAATAAATATGTGCCATTTTAAGCTTCTAAGTCTGTGGTAGTGTTATTATGCAGCAATACATATCTAATACATCCATGATACTGACATATACAAAAAAGGCACTAATCTGAGTTCTTTGAAGAGGGTAGCTTTCAAAACACAAATTTCCTTTCAGATAAAATCATTCTAAAAGCAAATAGTGCAAAACCAGTTAGTGGGTCAAATAGGAAACCTATTTGCCAGCACTTAACGGATCATGTAAGATCAACATCCACAGTAAGAAAAAACTATGCTATTTCTCTTATTGTACATAATTCTTACATTTCTTGCACAGAACAGGAAAATAATAAATAAAAACTTTCTATTGCTGGGGAAAAAAATGTCAACTTTTTATTTCTCAGTTCCCCATAGTCATTTAAGAATTGCCTGCACCAAGTAAATCTTCAAACTGAGGTAGTGTAAATCATTTTAAGAGTCAATTTATAGGTCAGATGAGTATCCTGTGTCAATCTTATAAATAAAAATATAGAAAAAAAGGAATGAAAAGCAAAATAAAATCTGCTGTTTCCAGAATCAGAATGTGCCAAAAGTGAAAATTAAAGTCAAGCTTTTTCCCCACACCACAGAGGATTTATCAATCACCTGAAACAAGTAGATAAAGGTTATTTTTCCCTAGGCATAAAAACACACATAAATAACTTTAAAAACAGTTTCATAACAATAGGTTTTTGCTATAGATAGTTCTAACTCAAGGCAATTCCCAAAAGCTAGGCTATAAACCCAACTACTTCAAATAACAATGTAAATTTTTAAAAAATCAGATACTAGATTTCCAGGACAGAAATCTGTAAATAGAAACAAATGGAGGATTATGTATCTGGAGATAGGACATGCAGTTTAGCAAAATAAATTCCTTGGAATTTATTTTTCTCTGGGCACAATGTATTACTACATAACCCATATAGTCTTACTGGACATAAGAACTTGATTTGCAAGGAGAGAGGGGAATAAGAGCAGGACAGATGGCTTCACTGGCCCCACATACAATATCACTGTTCTATGATGTGAATATTCATGTCCTTTGTCTATTACAGGAACCAGTGGAATATTAAAGAAATAAACCATAACAAAAAGAATGCAAATTTATAACCTCTTACAAAAAGTGGATGGAATAATACTTTCAGATGGTGAAAAGTTTGTTTTTCATTTCATTTATAGTATGCTTAACTGGAAATGCTAGAAATAGGAATGAATGCATGGGTAACCTTAGTTTTTATACTTATTTCATTCATTCTCAGAGAAGAGAGACTCATGCATCTGTCTGGAGTTTTAGATCTCATTTAACTTTACTCAGTAATTAATTTAGGCAGAGTAAATTAATTTGGAGTAAAGTGGTGTATATATAAAATGTAACATACACTTTAAGGAGTAAGTATACATACTTACTCCTTTTAATTCATTCTCTGCTATTACTCTCCATTACTTACATCTCTATATCCATCTACCATATTCCCAGAAATGTCTCCTGCTACGTCTTTACAACCAGCTGGGCAGAATTTGCTGGAAGAAGAAAAATAAAAAATTTATATTAAATTACATAAGCAAAAAATATTAAACTATACTTAAATTTTAAAGTATTTTCTGCCCTCCATATAATATCTTGCTTTAATGAAAACTTAGAAACCTGATTTGTGAAAATACAGATTGACCTACAATGTTCATCTAAAGGCAACTTTTACACAATAATTATTTGTTTTATATAAGGATTCACCATAAAGTCTATTAAACAACAAGCTTCCCTAATGCATTTTACTTGAGTCTAAGACATCCAATAAATATTTTTCACAAACAGGAACATCTCTAAACCTTATAGTACAATCTTGTTTCTATAAGAAGTGTTTAAAATATGTAACAATTTATGTTTTCTATGGATAAAAAAGACAAGGAAGAATATCCCTAGATTCTCTCCAGGAGGAGAATTGTGAGGAACTTTCACTTTCCATGTTATACATACTGTAATATTTCCATTATATTAATGGAACTGTCTGATAGAAATATAATGGCAGCCACATATACAAATTTAAATATTCTAGAAGTCACATTTTTACAAAGTAAAAACAGGCACAATTAATAATATATTCTATTTAATCCAACATGTTCAAATTTTATCACTTCTACATGTAATAAACAGAAATAAATACCAATAAGATATTTTATCTTCTTTTTTCATATTTAACCTCCAAAATCTGGGGTGCATTTTATACAACACACATCAATCTGCACTCACCACAGTTCAAGTACTCATTAGCTACCCAAGGCTAGTGGCTACTATATTAGACAGTGTGGTCTACATTAATTATGAAATACTTTTGCCATCAGAAAAACAGTATACACTTTAAAATTAGAATTCCAAGACCAGGGCGGTGGCTCACACCTATAATCCCAGCACTTTGGGAGGCCGAGGTAGGTGGATAACCTGAGGACAGAAGTTCAAGACTGGACTGGCCAACATGGTGAAACCAGTCTCTACTAAAAATACAAAAATTAACTGGGTGTGGTGGTGCACACCTGTAGTCTCAGCTACCCTAGAGACTGAGGTGGGAGAATCACTGGAACCGGGAAGCGGAGTTTGCAGTGAGCCAAAAATCCTGCCACTGCACTCCAGCCTGGGCAACAAGAGCAAAACTCTATCCTCCCCGCCAAAAAATTTAGGATTCCATTTATTTAACAGTCATTTTTCAATAAACTTTCCAGAAACATGTCATAGTATGTGGTGCAGCTGAAGGGTGTCAGGGCTAACAGCAGAGTGACCCAAGCTCTGGCACTACCCAGCTAGCAATGGGACCCTGATATTGCATATAGTCTCTCTTAGATTGTTTCTTCATCTCTATTCCCTTCAAGTGTCAACTTATCAGCAGGATATGAAGACAGCTATAAACATCTATAAAAAATATGCAAAAAGAAAGCCAAGGAATTAAAAGAATGTTGTCAGCTTTGAAGATGAATGTCATGTGCTCTTACTTCTATATATACACACCATTTTACATAATGTTTACTTGGTTTGTTTAAAAAGAGTGTACCAGCCCAAACAGATTCCAGAATAGAAGTTGTTTTTATTTCATTTCTTCTCAGTGTCCTCTTGCCGACTTGGCAAATTATATATGTAACAACTATCAAAACTATCCAAATAAATATTCCATATTTTTTCCCATTGACCTTTTGGAGTCCCTGCATTGCAGTAGTACTCAAGAAATTAAGAAATAAAAATAAGGGGAATTCCTATTACAGGTTCACAATTCCCTAAAGCCAATTCCCTTAGAACCAGCTGTATTTCAGAATTCAGAATTTCTTGGATTCTGGAAAAGCAAAACAGTTCTAATAATGTATATGGTGTAAGACCCCGGTGGGGCCTGCACACATTAATAAAAAAACATTAAAATACCTGTGTCAAATGCATGGTCATATTAAATAACACACATAAAGATTAAATGGTCTCATATTAGTCTAATTTTGCTGTCAAACAAATTTAAGGACACATTAATCAAGAATCACCACCAAATGAGTTACAAAGGCTTTCAAAGCTTTCTATACTTCAGAATTATGGATGAGGGCTTGTGGACCTGTATTAGTCACGATGCCTTATTTTTAATCTAAACACTATAAAATGGCTGGGCTAAAGCTGATCTGATCTGATCTGGTACCATAATGCCACCCTGTAAGCTTAGATATATTCCCTTTCTTTAGGAGAACAGGAAATGACCATTTGATGCCCAGAGACTCTTATCACCAACTGGGACTGTAGAGGTATAGCTAGAATAGATAATACTGGCATATGTGTATATTGGATGAACATTACTTTACAAAGCAACATTCAATTATTGCTCATTTTCATTTTTTCCCTCTATTAGACTTAATATTAGTTAACCCTAGAGTTGTTTCTGCACATAAAATAATTCGTTCATTAGAATGCCCAAATGTCTGAGACCATGCGCTCTTAAGCCTGACTTCCTGGCTATGCTTATGAGGTGTGTAGCCCTCAGCAAGTCTTAATTTGTTTGTACCTCAGTTTTTAGGATGTAACAGAACCTTCCTTGCAGACATGTTGAAATGTTCACAAGAGCTACTTATTCTGTGCTAAGTGCAGAGAGGTATACCGGGCACTACTAGGAAAGCACTCTAAAGAGTCACAGCTGGGTCCATGATTCACACTTGTAATCCCAGCACTTTGGGAGGCTGAGTGCAGAAGTTAGAGATCAGCTTGGACAACATAGAAAGACACCCATTTCTACAAAAAATTTAAAAATTAGCCAGGTATGATGGTGCAAGCCTGTTGTCCCAGCTATTTGGGAGGCCGAGGCAAGTGCATACTTTGAGCCCTGGAGTTTGAGGCTATAGTGAGCTATGATTATGCCATTGCACTCCAGCCTGGGCAATGAAGCAAGACCCTGTCTCAAAATTAAAAGTCATAGTTTTTGTTAGTGTTGTTGACAAGGATCTCTAGACCAGTGGTTCTCCACTGAGGGAAATTTTGTCCACCATGAGACGTTTGGCAATGTCTGGAGACATTCTTGGTTATTACAACTGACAGCTAGGACAGATGCCAGGGAGACAGAGGCCAGGGATGCTGCCAAATATCTAACAATGCACAGGACAGCCCTGCACTATAAAGAATTATCTGACCCAAAATATCAATACTGCCGAGGCTAAGAAATTCTGCTTTAGACTGTTTTACTTGATAGATGAGGAAATGTACATCAAAGTGGCTAAGTAGTGTTTCCAGTTAAAGTAAAGCTGGGTTGAAATTTTTCATCTTCTTATTTGCAGCAGGTTTTTCTCTAGTGATAAAGGCAAAATGCACCTCCTCCCAAATGAAAGAATTTTAAAAGTTATTCCCAAATACTGGCCAGGAAAAAAATACAGTCTAGATTTGGTAATGGGACCTATAGTGGAACTCAGGAGTCAGCAAACTATGGCCTGTTGGCCAAATCCACCCTACTGATGTTTTTGTAAATAAAGTTTTATTGAAACACGGCATGTCTGTTAGTGTATACATTGTCTATGGCTGCTTTTTTTTTTAAATATATTTTTTTTGATACAACAGCAACAGAGATTATATGAATAAATGCAACAGAGATTGCATGTGGAAAACCTGAAATATTTCCTATCTACCTTTGACAGAAAATGTTTGCTGACCTCCTGCTATATAAGAAACTACTTCAAATATTCCTCATTAGTTACAACATGAATGGTTAAAAGAACTTTAAGTACAAACATATCTGGTTTAATGTGAAGGAAAACAAAATATTCAGCAATACACGACTGCAACAGTCAGGATACCTGTATTTACCTGTATTCTGTCTTCAAATAATGGCTAGCTCGTTCCAAACATGTTATTAAATCTGTCATAAATAAAGATAACTGCAATTAACAGAATGGAAACTAGGTCACTCGTGCTGCAAAGCTTTCTTTTAAAATAAAAGAGAGTTTTTAAAAAGCATTTATTCACTATGTAGTTATCAGAATTTTCCTTTAAAAAATAAATACTGAGAATCACTGTCTCCAGTATTTAATGAGTTCCTTTCACTTCTTTTTTCTGCCACCAATGATGGTTTTTCAACATTATTATCTGGTAAATGATAGCAGAATCTATATTCAACAGAAAAAAAAGGCAATACTTGTTATTTGCTATCCACTACATGCCTACAAAGACTACGTGTATAATGTCCCCTGACAGGAACAAAATAATTTCAAAAGCCCAACATAGTTCATAGAGAAGGTTCCCACATTTTAATTCAACTTTTAGCCAGTGGTATCCAGTGACAGAGAAGCAAATGGTTACTTCTCTGAAAAGAAAACCTACAGCATACAAGCTTTCGTCAACCAGAATCAAGCATTTTAAGAAAGAAGGTGCTCTATAGAGTAATTTACAGAACCAAACTAATATTCAGCAACAGAGGCTGAGGTGAGGCTAAGACACAGTGGATCTCGATGCATTTAGATCAACATAGTATGGTTTCCAAAATATCCCACACTTACTGTAATAGTTCTTTGGGGGCAGCATATGATAAACACTGACCATGCAGGCACCTGCTGTGATTGGTCAGAGCTGATTGGCTAAGAGGAAAATGAATGGCGCACCTCATTCCCAGAGCTTTTCTGCCAGAGAGGACTGAGAGCAGAAACCTCTGTGACTATAAGCAGACAGGGTGTGGGCTGCACATAATTACTCTGAAACACAAGAGCCCAGGGTAGGAGCCCATGCTTCTCTCTCTCATCAGTGTTCATGTTTCCCTTCCCTTCTCTCACATACAAGTTTCAGCTTTACGGTTATCGCACTGTGTAACACTGACTTCTTCATCTTGCATACACCGTACATGCCTCCCTTGGTGGTGCACTGGTATGTGTTGGGAAGGGGCTCCCTGGTGATAAGTCTTGCCTCTGAGCTAGGAAGAAGGTTGGGAGAGGGCTCGAGAGAATACCCAGGACTTAAAAGGGTCAGGAGGGGAACACAAAGCTGCGCTATCCAAGGATTTTAGGAAAAATGAGATGAATCCTATCCCATGTAAGTCAACTGATCAATATGCTAATAAGCTTGTCTAACCCATGCCCCTTGGGCCACATGCAGCCTAGGATGGCCTTGGATGCAGCCCAACACAAATTCCTAAAGTTCTTAAAATATAGTTATAAAATATTTTTGCAAATTTTTTTAAGCTATTGTTAGTGTATTTTATGTGTGGCCCAAGACAATTCTTCTTCTAATGTGGCCCAGGGAAGCCAAAAGATTGGATACCCCTGTGCTACAACATGATTCAGTTCAGACCTAAATCATTTATAAAGATACAGTGCTCCTCCTTCTCTTTCGTATCTTAATTCTGCATCTGAGACCATAATTATGTCCAGGGATGGTGATAAATAGCAAAAGGAATTCTTTGACAGATATGGTTTAGAGATTTGTGTTGAGTTTTCTGTTATACCTGGATGGTCGCTGCTCGCATAGGTCAGCAAAAAACCCCGGCCAGAAATGTGGGATCCACTCTCAAAGCGGACGGTTACTTCACTTGTGTTCAGCAAGAGTTCTTTGGGAACAGTCATACTTCCACAGTACGGACCTAAAAACAAAGCATACTTATGGCACATTTCCAATTTTAGACCACCACAAATGATTGGTATACAGGATTTTTTTCCTTTAAAGGCCAAATTTATTAGACAATACATATGTATGGTTATAATCTTTACCAACTGAAATTTCGCTTAACACTCAGACTGATAATTTCTGACTGATGTGAACTTGTATATCTCCTAAGCCAAGAGGGAAAGGGGCTTACTCTAGACAAGCAATAAGGTAGAACTGGTTAACTGTGAGCAATCCAAGAGATAGGTTTTGTTTTTTGTAAAAAGAAGACAAAGGTCAAACACATTAGGTAGTTAAGGAAATTTTATTACAAAAATGTTATTCTAGGGGCCTCCTACATTACTCAAAGAAACTAAAACATCATTTTCTTCAGGGAAGTCCAAAAATTAAAAGACTTTGCAATGCATGGTAAGAATCTTATTCACATGCAGCATACACATTGATATTTCTTTTACAGTAACTTCTGGTTAACCCCCAAAATTAACTGTAATTTGTAAAATGTATACAAAAGCTTTTGAAATACTACAGTACAAATTTTACAATTAAGGATATAACATTGTTTCCAGAATAAGTTCCTTGAAAAGCAATAGGGAACTCAATGAACTTTTAAAGGACAAAATTAGATTTGGAGCTTAAAATAACAAAAACTCTTCCTAAGACTACTCAAAGTAAAGTTATACTTTTAAATTGTCATTTTGAAAGTAACATATGCAAGACAATCTCTATGAAATAGGTATTAGCAAGCAAATTTTGAAGAGAAGTATTATTTATTAACTTCTCTCAAAACAGTATGGAAACAGTCAACAGCAACAATAACAATCAGGTTAAATAAGGAAAAAGAACAAAAGAAAAAGACTGCTCCAAGTCAATATGAACAAAACTGGGTTATACTAACCAGAACCAATAGAGACAAAACTGCTTGATATGGTTTGCTTTGTCCCCACCCAAATCTCATTTTGAACTCCCATGTGTTATGGAGGGACCTGGTGGGAGGTAAGTGAATTATGGGGAAAGGTCTTTCCCGTGCTGTTCTCATGATAGTGAACAGGCATCATGACAGCCAATGGTTTTTAAAAAAGCAGTTCCCCTGCACAAGCTCTTTTCCATTGTCTGCTGCCATGTGAGATGTGCCTTTTGCCTTCCAACATGATTTGATGCTTCCCCAGCTATGTGGAATTTTAAGTCCAATTAAACCTTTCTTTTGTAAATTGCCCAGTCTCAGGTATGTCTTTATCAGGACTAATACAGTAAGTTGGTATCAGTAGAGTGGGGCACTGCTGAAAAGATATCTGAAAATGTGGAAGTGACTTTGGAACTAGGTAACAGACACAGACTGCAACAGTTTGGAGGGCTCAGAAAAAGACAGGAAAATGTGAGAGAGTTTGGAACTTCCTAGAGTCTTGTTGAATGGCTTTGCCCAAAATGCTGATAGTGATATGGACAACAAAGTCCAGGCTGAGGTGGTCTCAGATGAAGATGAGGAACTTGTTGGGAACTGGAGCAAAGGTGACTCTTGTAATTTTTAAGCAAAGAGACTGGTGGCATAGAGAAAGTAACTTTGAAATTGAGATCTATGTAACTTTGAAATTGAGAGAAATGATTTAAGGTATCTGATGGAAAAAAAATTCTAAGCAGGAAAGCATTCACAATGTGACTTGGGTGCTGTTAAAGGCATTCAGTTTTATAAGGGAAGCAGAACATAAAAGTTCAGAAAATTTGCAGTCTAACAACACGGTAGAAAAGAAAATCCCATTTTCTGAGGAGAAAGTCAAGCCGGCTGCATAAATTTGCATAAGTAATGAAGAGCCGAATGTGAATCCCCAAGACAATGGGGAAAATGTCCCCAAGACAATGGGGAAAATGTCCCCAAGGCATGTCAGAGGTCTTCAAAGCAACCTCTCCCTTCACAGGCCCAGAGGCCTAGGAGGAAAAAGTGGTTTCCTGGGTGAAGCTGAAGGTCCCTATGATGTATGCAGCCTAGGGACTCGGTGTCCTATGTCCCAGCTGCTCCAGCTATGGTTGGAAGGGGCCAATGTAGAACTTGGGCCGTGACTTTGGAGGGTGCAAGCCCTAAGCCTTGGCACCTTCCACATGGTGTTGAGCCTGCAGGTGCACAGAAGTCAAGAAGTGGGGTTTGTGAACCTCCACCTTGATTTCAGAAGATGTATGAAAAATGCCTGGATGCCCAGGGTCGAAGTTTGCTGCAGAGGCAGGGCCATCATGGAGCACCTCTGCTTGGGCAGTACAGGAGGGAAATGTGGGGATGGAGCCCCCCCACACAAAGTCCTTTGGGTACCAGCTAGTGGAGCTGTGAGAAGGGGGCCACCAGACACCAGAATGGTAGGTCCATTGTCAATTTGCAACATGTACCTGGAAAAGCTGCAGACACTCAATGCCAGCAGGGAGGGGGGCTATACCCTGCAAAACCACAGGGGCAGAGCTGCTCAAGACCATGGGAACTCACCTCTTGCATCAGTGTGACCTGGATGTGAGACATGGAGTCAAGGGAGATCATTTTGGACCTTTAAGATTTGACTGCCCCACTGGATTTCAGACTTGCATGGGGCCTGTAGCCCCTTTGTTTTGGCTAATTACTCCCATTTGGAATGGCTGTATTTACCCAATGCCACCAACCCCACTGCATCTAGGAAGTAACTAACTTGCTTGTGATTTTACAGGATCATAGGCAGAAGGGACTTGCCTTGTCTCAGATGTGACTTTGGACTGTGGACTTTGAGTTAATGCTAAAATGAGTTCAGACTTTGGGGGACTGTTGGGAAGGCATAGTCGGTTTTAAAATGTGAGGACATGAGACTTGGGAGGGGCCAGGGTCGGAATGATATGGTTTGAGTGTCCCCACCCAAATTTCATCTTGAATTCCCACATGTTGTGGGAGAGACCAATGGGAGGTAATTAAATCACAGAAGAAGGTCTTTTACATGCTGTTCCCATGACAGTGAATAAATCTCATGAGATCTGATGTTTATAAAAAAGGAGTTCCCTGCACAAGCTCTTTTCTCTTGTCTGCCACCATATGAGATGTGCCCTTTGCCTTCCACCATGATTTGAGGCTTCCCCAGCCACATGGAACTGTAAGTCCAATTAAACCTTTCTTTTGTAAATTTCCCAGTCTTGGGTATGTCTTTATTAGCAGCATGAAAATGGACTAATACACTGCTAAAGATTCAGATGATCATGACACAACTAAGCATTGCCCTTCTGGTATAAAGGATCCAATTACTCTCTGTTCCAAGTTCCACATTCTGAAGATGTGATAGAATAAGAAAGAAATGCTATATGCTTACCCTCACATGCCAAATTTCTAGCATTCCCTATTACTAAATTATAGTGAAATCTAAATAAAAATGATCACTTTCCTCTTTAGAAACACCATCGTATGTAATTACTTACATGAGTTAATACTTTCAAATTACTTAGAATAGTATCTAGCACATAGTAAAAGCGATATAAGTGCTTGTTAAAGAAATGAATACATTAAAAAACCAGTCATATCTGTTTTCTCTCTAGACTGAGTTCCATGGTGCAAAGAACTTTTATACCCATCCCTTTATCTCCAGCAGACTGTATAGTCTCTGGTAGGTGACAGCCTCCCAAAAACTGTTTGAATTGAATTGAAATGCTCTTTTTACAACAGTTTGTAAAAGCCAAACCCCACTAAAAGATTTGTAAAATATTTTAAATCTTGTCACTTTGAAATAGTATGGAGAAGTCAGGAAGAGAAATGTAAAGAAGCAGGAAAAAAGTAATTCATGTAAAGAATAATGTGGATTTTTATAAACTAAAATATTGCTCACAAGCACAGCAGATAGGCCATTCAGACTAAATTTATTTATATAATCAGGTAGAATGATAAGCAGTTTTGCAAAGTTAAAGTGAGTCAGATTGCTATACTTGACTTTTCCAACTTATTCCGTTTATTTTACATATGTTTGAAATTCTTTTGTTATTTGCGCTGATAAGAGGGTTGAAGATACTTGCTTTGTAAACCTAAGGATGAATAAGAAGTAACTAGTAACTTGTCACTTTAAATAAATTAGAATATTTTCAAATAACATTTTTTATATTCACCCACTAATATACGCCTCTCCAAATGGTGATGATGATAGTAATCTCTCCTTAAATTTCTATAGCATTCCAAGGAGTTCTAATAAAAACTGTAGGTGGCCAGGCACAGTGGCTCATGCCTATAATCCCAGCACTTTGGGAGGCTGAGGTGGGCGGAGTCAGGAGGTCAGGAGTTTGAGACAACATGGTGAAACCCCATCTCTACTAAAAATACAAAAAATATTAACTAGGCATGGTGGTGGGTGCCTATAATCCTAGCCACTTGGGAGGCTGAGGCAGGAGAATTGCTTGAATCTGGGAGGTAGAGGCTGCAGTGAGCCAAGATCCCACCACTGCACTCCAGCCTGGGCAACAGAGCAAGACTCCATCTCAAAAAACAAACAAACGAAAAATGAAAGCTGTAATGTAAGCAAGTTTAAATTGATTATCAGTGACAAGTTGTTCAGATTTTTTTTTAGATTTTATGAAACAGTTGAAAGGAAAAGTTGCAGAAGTATACATATTTTACACAAATAAATAAAAGTATATACCATCATACTAAGTTGTCGTGCAATACATATGATTTCCTAGACCAAAAACATGTAAATACAGTAAAACTCTAATTTGGTTTCATCCTCCCAGTTATGACAGACACGAAAATATTTCTGGAAGCAGTTCAAAGAAGGAAAATATAAACACATACCCCTTTAATTACCCTTACCACACAGACATCAATCCCTTTCATATTCTTATTACTGTACTGCAAAATTGTAATGAAATTCTAGAGGGGGTAAGAGATACCCTCTCTATATAAATATCACAATTGAGAGGATTTTTGTTTTTCTTTTTTTTTTTTGAGACAGGGTCTTTCTCTGTCACCCAGGTTGGAGTGCAGTGGCGTAACCACAGCTC